GAACCCCCCCCCCCCCCTCCCTCATTGGGGGCCTTGAGGCGCCTCACGCCAGCGCGACCGTCTGAGGGTTCTTGGTGCCGAGCTCCTCGAGCTTCTGGAAGGCGGCGGCAAACTCCTTGAAGAAGAGCTCCTTGTCCTTGGCGTACATCTGCACGTACTGCCGCATCTTCTTGTCCTGGATGAGGGCGATGTCCGAGGGCAGCATCATCAGCTTCCCCGACGGGTCCTCGAACTGCATCGGCCCGTCCCACTCCTTGAGCGTCCACGGCAGCGAGAGAAGCAGCGCGTAGTACCCGTTGGTCAGCACGGTCGGCGTCGGGGTGATAAACGCTGCGCCGCCCCCGCACCAGCGACACCGGCCGCGGCTCGCCTCCACGCGCCGGCTCGGAAGAGGGGCTGTCGGCGGCGCAGCAGAGCGGCACGCCTCGGCGCTCGAGCCGCCGACAGCCCCACTCCTCGACGTGACGGCCGCTCCCGGAGCCAGCCGGTGCGCGCCCGACCCACGCCCCCTCTCGCACCCCTCCGACCCCCCCTGCGCGGCGCACCTATCCGCTGTGCGCCGGCTCGAGCGCCTATCGCCAAATCGCGACGTTTGAGCGCAGCGCACGCGTCCCACACGTCACGCGCGCGCAGGAGAGCGTGCGGCACAGCTGTAGCGTGTACTCGCCGAGGGCATCGCGCCGAAAACCCCGCGCATTCCGCCCCAGCAGAGGCTGCAGCCTCTGCACAAGCTACACCACTGTAAGAATGGTGAGTACTTGGGGTTGAGTGGGCTTGCTTGCTCCCTAAGCCGGGAGCAAAAATGCAAGAATATTTAACTACTAAAAAGTGGAAGCTTCCAGTTTTTAGTATTTAAACGGACCGGTGAGTTTGTTGGCCGCGTGTCTCTCCGTACCTAGTCGTTTTATAGTCTTTTTTGAGAGCGCCTTCGTCTTCGTCTTTTTTACGTGCAAGTCGCAACAGCGCGACGTCCGTTCTTTGTTGTTGGTGGATCGACTGTCGGCAGCGAAGGCTCACCCCATGATGGCGCAGCCTCGCAGCTGATGGGCAAACTTGCGGTCAGATGGCCCTTCCAGTCACATAGCATCTCCCAAACTCGATTGGCATCGTCGTTACACAGTCGCCGCAACGCTACGGCAGGCACACACAAACACCTTCTCGCGTGGCCCCACACCGGGCCTCCCGGTGCCACACGGCGCTGCCAGGGCGGCCTCGTTCCAGGGCCAGAACACCCGCACACTTCCAAACTCCCAACGGCCTCGCTCACCCCAAGAGATGGCGCGTCGCCGAAAAAATCTTTTTGAGTTACAAGAAGCCTGCTCGACCTGGACACTCGATGGCCGCGAGCGCAAGTGACACGTGATGCTCACAGCCAGAGCCGTGAGGCTGAGGGCAGGCCGAGTGAGCGCGCGAGGAGCCGCATCGCGGCGGCCATGTCGTCCCGCGCAGAGGCGGGCGAGCAGCACGGAAGAGTGCAATGTCGCGCATCGCGAAACGCCAGTCCAAAGAGCAGACTACACACGACGTTGTCGATTCAGCGCGTGACCGCCAAATATAATTAAAGCTCGGATCGCCGGGGAGAGAGTTGCGTCTTGCGACCAAGCCCATTCATGAGATTACAATGTGAGTAACGCAACTTATCCGGTGGCAGCAAGAAAATATTGTTGAGTATGGGGAGTAGTCATGACGTCTGGTATCCATGAATATGAAGAGTCACGTCTGCCGGTACTCATGAGTAAGAAAAAATGTATTCAAGTACAAGTGCGTGAGCCTGCCAAGTCAGTCAGTCTTACACACCTCCTAGCATGGGGTAATGCAGGTGAGAAGTGCTCCGACCGCCGCTATACGGGGGCATCCTCTCCCCCATCCGCATGTGAGGAACTGCGTACTACACATCACCCTCCCCAGCATCAGTGGGTTGTCTTTTGGGGTCTGAGCCCAACGCGCAACGGAGAAAAAGAAAAGTTTCGGACGAGGAATCGAAAGATCAGAGAGAGAGATTTTTGCATTGTGGCAATACCAAACAACTCTAGGACACTCACACATCATTTGGGGCCTGGAGCCCTGGCAGCCCTGTTCACGCGCGCGCGAGACGTGCAGACAGGGTTGCCAGGTGAGAGCGAATGGCGCGGTTCACGCCTCGCACAACAGAGAGAGAGATGCGCTGTTTTGTAAGATCAGAAAAATAAAAATCACGATCCACACGTCTCGCGGGACGCGGCGCGAGCCACGATCTCCTGCCCGATGTCCGCAAACGGAAGGCACGAATAGCCGGACACAGGAACGGCATAGCTCAACCCTCAACGAGAGAAACCACACACAACACACACACCTGTAGCACGAACAGGTTCCTGGGGGGGGGGGGGAGCCGGACGCAGGAACGGCACTGCCACTGGCCAAAACGCACCCACACCTGACGCACGAACTACGAACAGGTTACGAACAGCCGGACGAGAAGGAACGGCTCAGAGACACACACCCAGCCGAGAGGCATCTCAGAAGGCCGTCGAGGGGAAAGGGAGTTCGCTACTAAACGGCCGAAGCGGGTATCACTCCAGTTCACGCCCGCCGACCCGCGATGCACCTTATTACCCGAACCCCCTACCTGCAAGCCCACCGAGAGGGGTAGGGGTCAGCCTTGTTCAATTAAACACGAGTTCCACCGTAGCGCGTACTCAAGCGCGCGTGTGTGCGACTGCAGGACACTGCAGCGCTCACGCGGTCCCGGGCTCGGCCCTCCCACATTCTCTAAATGATGAGTCTTGCTCTCCCTTATACAATAAGGGGCCTCTGCGAAATAAAAAGCGGAGACCTCAGTGGGAGCGAACTCTGACGGAGAGGGAGGTACCCGCGGGTTGAGAAGAGAAGAATTCGCCCTCACTAAGTAATCGTGCGGGCCGAACGCTTTTTTTATTATGTCTTCCTGATGAAATACGATGTCGCTCTTCATCGCTAGGGTGCCCACAGGGCCCAAAAAAAGAAAGGAAAAAGAAATGGGCCACCCCCGATCGCAGCACTTCGTGTTGGCCAGTCGAGAAATTGAGAGTGTGACTAGGAGGGTGGGACGCTGGGGATTCTCAAAGGTATACCCTTGGAATGGCCGGATCCAGCCTTAAAGTACGAGATCGCGCGCGCTTCGCGCACAGCACCGCCTGTTCTCCGCGGCTGAGTGACGACGCGTGCCGTGTGCCAGCAGAGTTGGGCGCGCGCGGCGCGACGGCGCCCGCGAGGGAAGGCGCGGGTGCAGCGGCCGCCGGCGGCCGTACCGCCCGCCAGCCGGCGCAGCAGCGGCCAGCGCAGCGGCCGCCGGCGCAGCAGCCAGAGCAGCCGGTGCGCGCCTTGCGAGGCGAGTACTGCCGCCCGGCAGCCTTGAGGCGGCCGGGCGGCAGTACTC